GGGAAGCCCCTCCCGGCTCTGGATTCCCCCCCGGGTCTGGTTTGGGGTTAATTTGGGAAGGGGGTGCCCGTTGGTGCTGCTGGTTTGTGCCCAGCCCGGGGGGTGGTGGCACAGCAGCCCCAGGCCGAAGAGGTGACAGTCCCTGAATGCAACATCTCTGCTGGCCAAGGAGGTGGGTTTGGGAAGAGGATCCCAGCCCCATGTCCCTCATGTCCCCCCATGTCCCCCCGTGTGTCCCCCCCGTCCATGTGACCCTCCCTGTGTCCCAGGAGTACATCCAGAAGTTGATGCCGCCGCTCATCCAGAAGTGGAACGAGCTCAAGGATGAGGACAAGGACCTTTTCCCGCTGCTGGAGGTGGGGCTGGAGGGGTCCCAGGGCTGGTTTTGGGGGGAGGAACCTCATTTTGGGGGGTCTGTAGAGTGTGTTGGGTGCGGGGGCTGCCCCTGAGCTGAGGGGGAACAGGGACTGGAACCTTCCATTGGGGTGGTTTGGGGGGTTTCCTTTGGCTTCAGCCAAAATCGGGGGGATCCCCGACTCGGGGGGGACACACATCTTGGTTTTGGGTGCCTAACCTGTTTTGGGGTGTCCCCCCAGTGCCTGTCCCCCATTTTGGGGGGTCTGTAGAGTGTGTTGGGTGCAGGGGCTGCCCCCGAGCTGAGGGGGAACAGGGACTGGAACCTTCCATTGAGGTGGTTTTGGGGGATTTTCCTTTGGCTCCAGACAAAATTAGGGGGATCCCTCGAGTTGAGGGGACACACACACCTTGTTTTTGGGTGCCTGACCTGTTTTGGGGTGTCCCTCCAGTGCCTGTTCCCTGTTTTGAGGGGTCTGTAGAGTGTGTTGGGTGTGGGGGCTGCCCCCGAGCTGAGGGGGAACAGGGACTGGAACCTTCCACCGGGGTGGTTTTGGGGGGGTTCTGTTGGCTCCAACCAAAATTGGTGGGATCCTCTGAGTCGGGGACACACACACCTTGTTTTGGGGGTGCCTGACCTGTTTTGGGGTGTCCCCCCAGTGCCTGTCCTCGGTGGCCACGGCCCTGCAGAGCGGGTTCCTGCCCTACTGCGAGCCCGTGTACCAGCGCTGCGTCACCCTGGTCCAGAAAACCCTGGCCCAGGCCATGGTGAGCCCCCCTCCCTCCCTCCCTCTCGTGGCATTTTGGGGACCCCCGGGGGGGTGCCAGCGTTCTCCCCCCGCGGTGCCAACCCCCCATGTCCCCCCCAGATGTACAACCAGCACCCCGAGCAATACGAAGCCCCCGACAAGGATTTCATGATCGTGGCCCTGGACCTGCTGAGCGGCCTCGCCGAGGGGCTCGGTGGCCACGTGGAGCAGCTGGTGGCCCGTTCCAACATCATGACGCTGCTTTTCCAGTGCATGCAGGTGAGGGGGGACCCCCCACGACCCCCCAAATCCCTCGGTGGGGCACCAGGACCCCCCCCTGAACCGCCCTTGTCCCCACAGGACACGATGCCCGAGGTGCGGCAAAGCTCCTTCGCCCTCCTGGGCGACCTCACCAAGGCCTGTTTCGTGCACGTCAAGCCCTGTATCGGTGGGTTTTGGGGGTCCTCGAGGGGGGGACACCCTTCCAAAGTTGAGGGAGGCTCACCTGTGTGTCCCCCCCCTCCCCAGCTGAATTCATGCCCATCCTGGGCACCAACCTGAACCCCGAGTTCATCTCCGTCTGCAACAACGCGACCTGGGCCATCGGGGAGATCTGCATGCAGATGGGTGAGACCCGCCAAAAACCAGGCTGAGACCCCCCAAAAACTGACCTGAACCTCCCCCAGCCCCGTTCAAACCTCACCTGAGGGGCCCCCCCTTGTTTTTACCCCCCAGGAGCAGAAATGCAACCCTACGTGCAGATGGTCCTCACCAACCTCGTGGAGATCATCAACCGCCCCAACACCCCCAAAACCCTGCTGGAGAACACGGGTGAGGGCTGAGGGGGCACAGAGGGACCCTCCCCAACCTGTTGGGTGCTGGGGGTTCTCCCCCAAAATCCTCACCCCCCCCCAAATCCTCAATCTCTCCTCAGCCATCACCATTGGGCGCCTCGGCTTCGTGTGCCCTCAGGAGGTGGCCCCGATGCTGCAGCAGTTTATTCGGCCCTGGTGAGTTTGGGGGGGGCTTTTAGGGGTCCCTGACACCCCCCAAAATTTCAGGGTGGGGGGCACTGAGCCTCAGTTTCCCCCCCCAAGGTGCACGTCGCTCCGGAACATCCGCGACAACGAGGAGAAGGACTCGGCCTTCCGGGGCATCTGTGTCATGATCGGGGTGAACCCCGGGGGGGTTGTGCAGGTAGGGGGGTCCCCGGGGCCTCGGGT